TTTTTTACTTTTGCTATTTTAAAGCTTATGTTATCTGAAACTAGTATAGCTACCCCTGCTTTCTTTTGACTTCCATTTGCCTGGATGATAGTTTTCTATCCCTTGACTTTTAGTCTGAAGGCGTCTTTGTGGATTAGATACGTTTCCTGTAGACAGCAGATATGAGGCTTGTGGATTTTTATCCAGTCTGCCAGCCTGTGTCTCTTCAAAGGACAGTTCAGGCCATTTACATTTATTGAGAGGATTGAGAATTGTGGCAGATTTCCATTCATATTGTTGGGTGAAAACCTGTTGTTTTGTTTTGCTTCTTGAGCCATCATGAAGTCCACATTGTAGCTTTAACTCTTGAACGATTTTACTTTGAAGAGTGTCTGTTATGCTGTTCAGTGTGTAATGCAGGTCTGAGTACTTCCTGTAGGGCTGGTCTGGTCTTTGCAAAATCCATCAGTGATTGCTTGTCTGGGAAGGACTTTATTACTCCCTCACAGATGAAACTTAATTTTGCCGGATAAAGAATTCTGGGTTGGGCATTATTCTGTTTTAGTAGATTAAGGATAGGGACCCAGTCCCTTCTGGCTTGTAAGGTTTTTGTTGAGAAATCAGCAGTTAGTCTGATTGGCTTTCCTTTATAGGTTATTTGCTGCTTTTGTCTCACTGCTTGAAGAATTGATTCTTTTGTGTTTACTTTGGTCAGTCTAATAACTACGTGATGTGGTGATTGCCTTTTCACACTGGGTCTCCCAGGAGTTCTGTGTGCTTCTTGTATCTGGATATCAAGATTCCTGGCCAGGCCTGGCATATTTTCCTCCAGTATTCCATGAAATAAGTTTTCCAGTCCTTGAGTATCTTCTTCTTCTCTTTTTGGAAGATCTATGGTCCTAAGATTCTGTTTCTTTACATGATCCCACATTTCTTGTAAGTTTTGGTCTTGTCTCTTGTTTCTGAGTTCTTTTTCTTCATCTGATTTGTTCCGAATGTGGACAGTATCTTCAAGCTCTGAGATTCTTTCCTCTGCATGATACGTTCTGTTCTTGAGGCTTTCCACTGTGTTTTGAAGTTCCTTGAATTCCTCCATCATTGACGAGATTTCTGTTTGGTTTTTCCATAGTATTTCAATTTCCTTGGAGAGTTTTTCATTCATTTCCTGGATTGTTCTTGTGGTTTATTTATGTTGGGATTCTATTTTTCTCTTCAATTCCGTTGTTTCCTTACAATCCATAATCAGAATTCTTCCTCTGTCAGTTTAATTGTATCATGTATGTTGGTATCAATTGATGGAGATCCAATATTTTCTTTTGGAGGTGACTTTTCTCTCTGATCTTTCATGTTTCCTGTGTTCTTTCGCTGATTCTTTCTCATCAGGCTACTTTGTCAAGGACTGGAGGTGCTGGGACTGGTTTATGGACTTAATTTTGGGACTCCAAAGGGATGTTCCTTGGCAGAGCTGAGGAGATGTGCTCTGGTCCTGTGTTGTGTTAGCCTAGGGTTTTAGCTACTCCTTCCCAGCAGATGTGGGGTCAGTCCCTTTGGTACACAATATCAGTGGTCTGATCGCCGTCAAGGGCCATCCACCACCCCTGCGGGGTCACAGCCCAGAGAACAGCTTCCCTTGTTCCTCCATACTACCAAGGGTGGGGAACTGTTTCTTTGGAAGGAGGCGCCGGTTACCAAGTCACAGCAAAAAGGAGGCTGCAGGACCCAGCTGGGAAAACAGCCTCCTTCACTCCCTACTTGGCCCTTCCCATTGTGGAGTCTGTCCGTTTGGCCGGCAGCTCTGGCTACCAAGACGCAGCAAAGAGGTGACCAC